TGCCCGGGGGCACGGCAACCCAGGGAGCATGCATGGGCTGCGTGCCCGCAGGCCTAGGAGCGGAAGGACAGTGCCTGCCTGCGGGCTAGAGCAGCAATCAGCTCTGGGTCTGTCTCTGCTACCACCCAAGTGGCTTTGAGGGGTTACTTGAAGCCATTGTGTTTTAACCCCAGGCACAGCAGGGCAGGAAATTTAGGAGAACCCAAAGCCCTGCAGGAAGAGAAAACAGCCTGACAGTCCCTGTGAGAGAGGGGACACTGCTGGCAGCCGGCAGAGACCCAGCACAGCTGCGCAGTGCTCTGTGCACGAGTGAGGACCGAGTGCCAAACGGCTGTGCCCGGGTCTCCAGGCGACCAGAGGCACAGGGAGGAAGACCTGGGGAGGCCCCGGCCTGCTCTGGCCACACCACACCCTCAGCAGCCCCAGCAGCCCCAAGACACGGAGCCCGGAGCTGCCAGCTGAGAACGACCCACTTCCTTGGGGCATTACACCCTCCCCGGAGCCCGAGCCCGCTGCGTGGGGAGGAAGGTGCTGGGGCTCCTGATGAAACTCCCCAGCCATGAATCAGAGCTGTCGTCTCCCACCAGCAGAGTCTCCCACCAGCAGAGGCTCTGGCCCATGGCTATATATAGTGCTGAGAGAGCAGCGGCTCGGCACTGGCGAAAGCCTCATGACTTCATAACAAAAGCAGCCTTACAGTGAGGGCCAGCAGGGTGACACCAAAGCGCTGGCCCTCAACAGCAACGGTGTCACCCCACAGTGCTGCCAGTACAGGATCTGTCCCCACCATGGGGCTGTGGCTGCTCTACCTGCCCCCTGGGGCACGCCCGGGGCAATGGGCGGCCTTCCCCCCCCCAAAGGCTTTCGGAAAGCCGAAGCCGTGCTGATGGCTGTGGCTGAAGCCGGCCTGGTTGACGTCCCACTTGGCGTGACGATCCTCATACTGAAAAGAAAGGCAGGGCACTGCTGTTACCTTGGGGGACACAAGCAGCCCTGTGAACCCAGTGCAAAGGGAACCAGAACCGAAGGGAAGGAGGCTCAGAAACATCCCACAGCAGCAGGGACACAAACCCACATGGCCTTATTAGAAAGAAACAGGTTGACCTTTGTTTGAAACAAGTTCCAGGGCAACCAGGCTTCCCACTCCTCAGAAAGGAAATCAAGCAGCATGAAAGGGCACAAATGCCTCTGCTCTGAAACATCCCAGCTGCTCCCGGCTCCCTGCTGCCCAAGGCACAGCCTGCGGGATGGCAGAAGCCACGGGGAGAAGGAACCAAGTCCTTTAAATCAACAAGAGCTGGGCCAAGGCAGATCTGGGTCCCATCATTTATCAGGTTGTAGGGCTCCAGCAGCGCTGGCTTGCAGCTGTGGAAAACGCTGCCCTGTGCCAAAGCGAGTACAGCATGAGCTGGACATGGCCTCCTGCTCCCCAGAGGGGTGCGGAAGAAGCCCAGTCCCTCGGCTGAACTGGGCAGCACCAGTCAGCTCCCGCTCCTGCTCTGCGCAGTGAAACTGTGCTGGTGTCGAGGCCGAGCGAAAGGCAGGGCTGCGCTTGCTGCCCAGCTCTCTGTTACGCCTGTTTCCATGAGCCTGATGCTCTGGAGAGCCCGAAGACAGGCTGGAGGCAGAGCTCCTTGCTTTCCCGCTGCACGGACTGCGGGGTGGCATTGCCGAGATGCATGCCGGCCCTTTGGCTGGGCCAGCCGTGCTGCACACACACTCCCGGTGCCTGCGGGCGAGGCACGGTGAGCCCCTGGCAGACCTGTACGCTGGCAGATGGAGGCATTCCGGGAGCAAATACCCCATTTGTTATCATGACAGAGGAAAAAGCCTCAGCCACATTCCTGGAGGGAACAAGGGGTGAGGGGAAAGCACAATCCCTGTGCTGGGAGCCAGACAACCGAGAGATTTATAGAGGGGCAGGCAGACAGAAACTAGGATGTGCACAGCAGGACCTCAGCCATCCCTGCAGCACCCCGGAGAAAGGGAGGGAGGGAGGGCCACTCACCTTGGTGGTGGGGAAGACAATGATGTGCTGGACGTCTCGCCAGGTGAGACACGGCCGCACCTGCAGCATCAGCGCGATCATCCCGGCTGCAAGAGGAGCGGCGGCTGACGTCCCCGTGTGGCCCTCCGTGCAGCCCGTGCCCTTCTGCAAATCCCAGTCTGTTGTCACCTGCCGAGAAAGAGGAGATGCCTCCTGTCAGGTCACTGTTTGCCATGCTGGGGTGGCTGGGATAAGTACAACCGAGCACCCAGTCCCGGCACGACGCCATGCCCTCCCCACACCAGCTCCACCGGCAGCTGATGGGCCACTGCCAGCAGAAGCCCGGGGACACAGGACAGCGTGCCTCCACACCGTGCAAAGGCCACAAGAGATGG